AGCGTGCGGAGAAAACTCTTTATCTGGCCCGTTGGCGTCTAGTTGAAGAATAAACACGAAGCAACAATGTTGCATGTATCACAGGTGACACACTCGACATGAATGTAAACGTGCAATTACTTTGATAAATAATTGGATAATAATGTGAGGTATTTTTATATAAAACGATTAAACAAACCATTTCATTGCATAGAAATTTAAAATTATACAACATATGCATAAAAAAGTGAAACGTAAACTAAAGTTCAAATTTCATGAATAATAAAAAAATGAAAGTTTGTTTAGAATTAAGCACAAAGCTACACAATGGGCTATCTGTGCTCTGCCCGCCACGGGTATCGAAACCCGGATTCTAGCGTTGTAAGTCCGCAGACATACCGCTGTGCCACTGGGGGGCTAAAAAAATGAAAGTAAAAACAAAGAAATCTTTTGCATAAATATATTATAGAAAAGTAATGTAATGACTAACTGAACAAATTATTTTATGTTAGTGACACCTCTTGGAAGTGTTCTAAACAAATAAAAAAAGTATTTGTTTGGACAATAAATGCATTAAGTAGAAACTAATTTTGCCATTTTTGTTGCAGCTTTTGGTCCTTCTGCTTCATATATCCTTGAATAAGGTGTTACAGAGTTTCTATACCTAATAGGATTACAAATCAAGAAAAACTTATTTAATTGTCCTTTAGCTAAAAACGTGTGTGTTTTCTTATAGAAAAGCCACATCGGGCTGTCTACTGTGTTGTAATTAGCGTTGTAATTCCAAAGACTTAACACTGTCCCACCGGGGGACAACTAAAAACTAATTTGGCTTCTGGAAATTGCATATGAAAAGTTATAAAATTGTCACTGGCAGTGTTGATTTAATTTGCATATATAAGTTTTAAGCTTATGGCATGGATAAAAGTAGAAATAGAAAGAAAAAACAGTTTCTGTAGAATCCTATCCAAATATCTGTAATTTGTCTATGCAAAATATAATGATATGTTATTAATATTGCCTTTATAACAATTTCATTGAGTAAATAAATATACCTTACTGAATTATTATCACAGGATATCAGTCTTTCAAATAACACTAAATTATCTACTATTTTAGGGTATGGAAAGGAATACGATAGAGCTTGTATGATTTTACATTTAATAAAATCAAGTAAAGTATGAACGTTTTTTGTGTTCATATGCCATTTATTACAAAAAAACACACTTTGGAACAGCATGGCACTAGTTTCTGATAACGATAAATATCTAATATTTCATGATTAGCTTCACTTATTAACTTCTAACTCACTTATATACTAACTCACTACTTCATTTACCATGGGGGAAGTCCAACAATCATTTTGCTACCGTTTATGATTTTATACGTTTTACATAATATTATGGCCTTTTCAAAACTGTCTGGATCACACTTTTAAAGTAATCACAATAATGAACCACTGCAGTATGATGACAACCATTAGTTTAAACTTCTTCTACAGATAATGCAAGATATTGTTACGCCTCCGTTCGTTAGTTAATTTTCCGTAAAAATTCTTTCCCATTAAACTTTAGCGACACAAGTCCTTTCTTAAATAAAACTGGTTTATTCTTTCTGAATACAACTTTGCAATACACTTAATTTCCACAGTCGCGCTATAATAAACGCTATAATTCACAACGAACGTCTCACGTGCTTGACTTAACAATATTCTCTCTCTGTCCGCAGTTCAATTACACAGCATTACATTGTTGCCGTCACGTCTTGACCGTCTTATATATACAAGACTACCGCATATCTAGTAAACGCTAGAGCATTCAAGAAGGGACAGGATATTTCTAGAAGTCAATGACGTGTTACTAGCGTCACGTGACTTCCGCTGTCGTAACAGTATATAACAGCTTTCTCTATAGTTTCGTTTTTCGTTTACTTACTGATTATAAGTAGTATCATTTTATTATAAGTTACAGCTTTTAAAGTAAGTAAGAATAGGTATGGCATTTTGATCACCGGTGCTATAATTCTTAAGTACATAGGATTTAACTGTAAAAAAGGTTTTTGTATATAATGTTTAGTCTAAAGTTACATTGTCGTTAGTCTTTTACTGGGTCAGGAGACGTTGTTAAGGGAGATTGTGTAAAGTTTTGTATAAAGTTCTTCAAGTCTGCGATACTACATGAAGCAAACCACTGGTGTTGATACGTTCTGAAAATATAAGTATATTCTATTATTCCTTTAATGTTAATTTCATTAACAGTATTGGTTAGAATGTTTAACATATATATTATTTTATCGTTATTTTACATTTTTATTGAAAATGTTATTTCACTTTGTTAGCTTAATACATAGATTTATGTTGTTTGTGTGTTTATTTTTAACACAAAGCTACATAATGGGCTATTTGTATTCTGGCGACCGTGAGGTATCAAACCCTGAAGTTCGTAAGCTTAGCACTAATCCATACGCGGACATAGATTTAGGACTAACCTAAATCTCTTAAATTGGCCTAATTTCGTGTTTGTTTGTTTGTTTTGAATTTCACGCAAAGCTACACGAGGGCTATCGGCACTAGCCGTCCCAAATTAAGCAGTGAAAGACTAGAGGGAAGGCAGCTAGTCATCACCACCCACTGTCAACTCTTGGGCTATTCTTTAACCAATGAATAGTGGGATTGACCGTCACATTATAACGCACCCACGGCTGAAAGGGAGAGCATGTTTGGTGTGACGGGGATTCGAACCCACGACTCGCAAATTACGAGTCGAGCACCCTAACCACCTGGCTATGCCAGGCCCCAACTTCGTGTTACATAGTATTGAAATTATGGCCGAAAATATCGTTAACAGTAAGATTACTCAACTCAAAAAATGAAAAAGGTGTTATAATCTTTATATCTAAGAATGTACGAACAATGTATTTAATTAGCTACACCCACTGTCAGGTTGACTTTTAATTACGACATTTGGAGAGAACTTACTTTGATAGGAAGTTATTACTAAATACTTCGGAATTTTGATAGGCATAAGGTATTGGCTTCACTTCCGAAAGCTATAGCAAGTACTTTTCAATTCTGATAAATGTAGAATGCGTTGATATTTAGCTCCACTTTGTTTATAATAAGCGTGCTATATTATACTTTTAAGCATGTTGAATATCTCAGTGTTTGCAACTTCCAATAACAGTAATAGATAATAGAAATAATATTACATGAAGAAGTTTATATTATAATTTCTAGCAGCGAAAGGTATTATAGAGTTACAGGAAGTAGACAACGAAGAAGGATCGTTCTTTACGAAGGGCAGTGGGAATTATTTGGAATCTACAGTACAAAACTCTGTTTCTACAGGAAATAAAGAAGATTTGTTAAAGATTCAAAATGTAAGAAATATTTCTTTAATCTTAATATAAAAATATATATAAACATTGGACACGTAAAAATAACTTATTTTTTACAAATTACTAAATTCATAAAAATAATTTATTTTTACTATAGGTATGGTAAACCAAAATGATGATTACATTAGATAATTCTACAAACTCAGTAAAAATGTCTCTTGTCTATATAGTTCCGTTTAGGAACACTGAACAATGTATGGTAATTCTTTGAAACTTCCACACATATTCTTAAATAATAAACTCAGTGTCATTGCTATTATGCTACATAACCATGCCTGAACATCATGGTTCTCAATGCTAACTTATTAATAAATAACGTTTTTTATTCGATTTCTCTTAACAATCATCCATTGGAACACAGTGGTGTACTGGAACCCTTAACGATGTAATACACAGGCGTACCATGTGTTTTTATCACCTTCTAATAATATTGACATTTTCCATACTTTTCATTTATCCAGTTGTATATGCGATTTTGATGCAACACGTTTGTCAAGAAAGGCGTTAAGTTCCTTGCACTTAGGTATCTATTGTTCTGTGTCATTCACCTAAGATATCATCTTTGTATTTCCATGAAAAAGGTTTCTTCAAAATTGCATCTACTAAGTGCAAACAGAGACCTTTTTCACAGGCAGATCAAGTGATGTTTAGAGGTTTCAGCCTTCTATATGATCACTAGGAATGGCCAATTTTCACGTGAGTAGCTCATGTCACCCTATAAGAATATGGCATTATAGTTTTGAATATATAATGGGATATTTTCTCAGGCTAGAAAATATATAGAGTTTATACAACTATTAATATATAGACAGTTTTTTTTTCAATACACTTAGCTTGGCTTCAACTTATAAACCACTTGGCTTTTCAAAATATTCAAGGTTCAAAGAGAATAAACAGCTAGTTTTCCTGTAAACGTGACTTTTCATCAAGCTAAACAAATACACACACACACACACACACTGTTATTTGTGTCATTCAATAAAAGATTATATTAATTCTGTTCAGTCTTTTTCTTTTACGAACTAAGTCAGATTCAGAAAAGTTAGAAATACTTTGTGATATATATCTTGGTCGAATCTCCTGTTAAGCTGCTGACTTCTCTTTACACTCTTTTGAGAAATCAGTTTTCACCTGAGAATACCAGAATAATAAGAATTAAGTAAATCTGATTAGTTTAGATTAGTTTCTGAGATCAAGTTCATTAGTTGGAGTCTATTGAAAGTATTCTGACTTTGTTCAGGAGAAAAAAAAGATACACATATGTAGGTCAAACAGTTAGTACTTGTTTGTGCATATTTATATTTAAAGTGATTCTTTTTGTTAATGCATAATTATTAATTACAAATAAAGACCTTGAAAAGAAATAGAAGCATGCTTGAACCTTATGCCAAATTAAAATCAGGTTCCTTGCATAGAATGCGAATTACGCTTAAACATATTTAACAATGAAAAAAAAAATATATCCATTGTTAAAGTATTTTATTTTCCTTATATTTTATTTAGTAGTTCACAAAATATATTACGATACTAATTAATTGTTAAGTTTGTTTGTTGGATTTCGCACAAAGCTACACGAGGGCTATCTGCGCTAGCCGTCCCTAATTTAGCAGTGTAAGACTAGAGAGAAGCTAGTCATCACCACTCACCGCCAATTCTTTGGCTACTCTTTTACCAACGAATAATGGGATTGACCGTCACATTATAACGCCCCCACGGCTGAAAGGGCGAGCATGTTTGATGTGGCGGGGATTCGAACCCGCTAGCCGCAGATTGCGAGTCGAGCTCCCTAACCACCTGGCCATGCCGGGCCTCAATATTAAAGCAGGTTTGACCTCCAAGAGCTCCAGTTCTTTAAATTAATTTGCAAAATCAATGCTTCGTTTGTTTAAACAAACAAAACTACACAAATACTGTAAAAATATATATAAAACTGAATGGGTATATCTTATAGTTTTGTGATAACGTATTTAGAAATGTGAATGGAGTACAGTTGAGTACTAAAGAGTTTTGTACATCTCATAACTGTGTTTTTGTAAACATGAGTCAATGATTTTAATTTAGAAACATCAATATTTTTATGATTTAGGGTCTTTGCAGATTATAAACTTAAAATATTGTGTGAGGATCGTTACTGTTCGAGAATTATTTGGAATTTACATGATAATGTTTTATACAATTAATAAATTCACAATTTAACTACAGATACTCCTTGTTTGTGACTTTGGTTTTTGTATCGCCTGTTTGTTTACGTAATTAGTTACAATACTGTACGTAACTATCTGCATAAATGATTTCCATTTCGGCGTAGCCTTAGTTGTGTAAAGCACAGTAGTTATTCCATTTATTAGAATAATCACATTTTTTGTTAAGACGTTTTTTCTACATAAGACCAAACGTATGTTAATCAGTATAACTGGTTGTTACAAATGTTAAATACAATTTCGTACAAACATTGAGTGCATTATGTTAATACGATTTTTGAGCCTCACCACATCCTTACAGACCATTTCGCCACGTCCGATCATGCTCTACACATTTTGCCAATAACTCTACAACATATTTTACATTGCAAGAGGCTCTGTCATAAAGCTGGCATGTCTTAAACAAGTCACTTCTCCCTACATGCTTGTCAAAGACCATTTTATGTATTACCATTTCACAGTCCGATCACACAGAAGAGCTGTTTCCGGTTGCTTGATAGCTATTCTTCGTGTGAAGTAACATGAATACCAGGTGTTTGAAGTGCAAGACAATTGCACCGATTTGTCATGGAAACAGCTTCTATACACGTGACTTGTGTTGTTTATCCTATGAAGTTTAGTCTTGATTATGTTGCGTTCTGTTGTCGTGAGGTATGTGAACGGTTTTTGCCACGTGAACGGTTTTTGGATACTCTCGAATGGCAATAAACGCCATTGCATTACAACAATTTTGTTGTGTAAAAAATTGTGCTTTGTATACTTAAACTGTGAGGAAATAAAGTGTGTATGCCTTTTAATTGAAATTGATAGTAATAGCTCGTATAAGTGTGCATATCTGTATTTGTGCATGTATAAATAAAAATATAGAATGTTTTAAAATATGTATAATGTCATTCAATATAAAGGAAGCTTAGTTTAAAAAATTAGTAATAAATTGTAATATTTCATGGCTCTTTTTCTTTTGTTCTATATACAATTAAGCATCTATAGAGTACAATCTCACGAAACCCTTGTTTATCTTTTAAGACTAATTTAAACAGTTAGATGCACTTTTATAATGGGTGGCAATAGCATATTACACTTAATAGTAGATACTACTGTATTCCTATTAAATTAATGTTTCTAATTTCAGATTCGTTCATATTGTTTAGGTTGCTCATTCTTCAAGACATATGGAAAAGAAATCGGCTCTACTCTCCCAAGCTCAAACCAAACAATCAGCTTACGATAGACAACGAGATTCTAACTACTATAGTCAAGAAATTAGTTTATCGGAAGTTTGAACGTAGTTGAAAAAGATTCCACAGAAATAATATATAGTTTTCTCGACCACAGAGCTTAACTGAATTAAACACATAAATTGTTTTAAGTTAAGAGCTGGAAAAATTAATTACATTCACGAAGTAGATATATCAAGCTTTCTAACTTTTACACAATTTGTATAATTTCATTTATTTCTAGCTAGACAACAATAGTATGATATATTTTATCAACGCTTCCATTATAGTACTTTGTATTACTTGATAATATATTTCATACATTTGTATTCATAGGTTCTTCTATATCGTCTTTTTTTTTGTTATATAACTCTTTTACAATAAAAAATAGAAAATACATTTTTACTTATACATATACTTAAACAAAAATCTTCGTTTGAATTAATTATGATGTATGATGTATCCACGTCACTAAAGAATACAATAAAACTTCTTGAAATCCACAAAATGATTGCGTTTTTGTTCTCTGTTCATATCAACTAGCAATTTTTATGACTGAAAATGGAAATTTTAAGGCATGCTTATTCGAAACGAAACTTTTTTATGGGCAGGATATATAAAAATAATGTAAAGAAAGGTGTATGCACGTATATTAGTAACCCTGAAGTTACAAGTACTTGATATTAAATGAAAATATATTCGTATAGAAAAAATCAAGTTAAAATAAAAAGCCGTGAGTCTTTGTAGAGGTGGTTGTGGATATTATTATTGCAGAATGGGATATATTACTTCTTTGATAAATGATTCAAGAGAATGAGAGAACCATCAATTCTGCTAATCATCGAGGCAGTTCTTACTCATAAGATATGTCACTTCGTTTTTAGTTGCAGCTTTTATTAGTTCTACCTAATGTCATATGTTTTCGATCCATCTACACCGAAGGAAAAGCTCTAGAGAAGCAGCTTTGAGTAAATGCTTAATATACTCAATCATTTTTTTTTCTGGACCTGTCATTTGCGGATCATTTACTTAGAGAGAGTACACTCAGATTGAGTACAACATAAATATTTCTCATGATTCGTTTTTTGTAATTCGTAGAGATACGGGAATATTATTTCATGAACTATCTGACATATCCTGTTTATAATACACACGTATAGATCGGGAAAGAATATAGAAATTAAGTAAACTGGTTGAAAAAAGTAATTGATTTATTTTGTTTAATAGCCATGTATTTTATATTCTTATACATCGATTATATATTTTAAACATAGAAAAGACAAAACCTAAAAAACACATTTTTGATTATACACTAGTAAAATTGTAAAATATTTGTTCGATTAAATAACCATAATTTATGTGGTACATATGTTCTTTTTATACAATTTAAAAGACATATATTGGAATATTAATAAAACAAATCAGTAAACACCTATGCATATATTGATGCATATAAAAAATTAGAAACAGATAAGTTAATTTAACCACATAAAGCAAAGAGAGAGAGTGTAAAAAAAAAAGCATCTTCTTATCTCTGATGATGTTTTTACGGAACAGAATTAACAGACTAGATTTATCTCTAGTCTTGTGCTTTACATAACGATACAGAAAGTTAAATATAAATTTATGAAATTTTCAATATTTGATGGTACACTCGCAAATTATTTTCTGTTTCTACGTTGCTACTTTCTGTTTTCCATCTAAAACTGACATATATGTCGTTTTAAACTACCATTGTTTAAAAGTATAACTCACCAAGATCTATACATAATTTAACTTATTCAAAGTGTAATTATTTAGATATAATAGAGTTTCAGGTTTTTACATCTTAAACGTCAACGAAGTTGTTTTCGTGGAACTATGACGTCATCGTCTCTACCCCTCCCCTGTTGCGTAGCGTCCCCCCACCCATTCAGGCGGCATCCTTTCGGCAGAGGACAAGCCCCCTAACTCCTGGCATAAGGCTAACCCCACAACGTCTTACTTCTAAACATTCTATTCACTCTTTGCAGCCAGTTGTAGAAAAGTAATTGCTCCTAATAAAATGGAATTTAAACAGATTATTTCAACAAAACCTGGCAAATTATAGATAAACTTGTCTCTTGGCTACTTGGCAGTTCTGCACTTGGAATTTTCCTTTATGTATACAAAGGATATTGTTTCGTCAGGGGGTCACGTGACTATTGTCACGCCGCCTATTTTCTGGAAGTATCTTGTTCCTTCGTGAATGCCCTAGCATTTACTAGATATATGTTTTTCTGGTATATAAATAGTAATTAATCTGCAGTCAGAGAGTATTATTGAGCACGTTCGTTGTTATAGCG